TTGAGGGTCTCTTCATCCACACTGTCAGAGTGGCTCCGCCAGATAAGGAGGCAAAAGAAGAGGACAAGGGAAGACATGTTCTAGGTGGTCCTGCAAGCCTCTAGTGCTTCAGGTTGTACAGAGGGATAGTGAGGACAGGAGAAACAGACAGCAAGAGATAACGCTGCTCAGGGAACAAATAGACATGCTATGGTCTCTGATTGAGCTTCAGGCTGAACACATCCATGCTTGCCTCCACCCACAACGCATAGAGAACTGTGGGGAGGTGCTGTGAGAAAGTCAAGTGTGTCCTCTGTGTGCCCCCTGAAGTACACATGACTCCTGGCAGGAAATGGATGGGGCATGTGCCTATTCTAAGCTGGAAGGAGTATACAGGACCATATTAAAGCATGGTGCAGCAGCTGTAGTAAGATGAGGCCCTGAAACATAAACCCTTGTATCAGAGGCCCGGTATGAGGCCTAAGGCCTGAACTAAAGTAATGGTCAAGACTTTGCTAATATAAAGCAAAGTTAAGCTGTTAGCCAGAGGCAGGCCCTCCTCATAGAAGCTGACAAGGAGAGGGCTGATGTTGCAAAAATACACATACCTAAAAGGTACTGGACACTAGAGATACAAGAACACTCCGATACTTGCACATTCCACACACCACAAGGAACAGGCAGACCCATCCTAAAGACGGACAAAAGGGTAATATGATGGATAGAGCTGTTTTGTTCGAATCAACATGTACAAGGTGAGAGGCGGCATCTTGCTGCATAGAGGGGGTTGCACCTCAATATGTCAGGAATGATGTGTAACTTGTTTGTACTTGTGTATAAGAATGCATCCCTGGGGCGGTGTCTTTGTCTGGCCTAGGGGGCAGTGGAGTGTCCCGCCACTGACTGAACTGTGTCCATTGTCAAGGAATACATGGACTAGCAGAACTGTAGACATCTGATCCGGGGAGCTAGAGACTGTTTTGTTTGACAATAAACCTGGCCAGGTGCCTTCGTACCTTATCGGAGTCTGTGGTTATTGGGGGTTCTCTCGGGGTCTGCTGTGTCAGCTGTCTGCGCAGAGCCGGGGCAGCACACAGAGGGAACACACGCACGCAGCCGACTGTTATCAACATTGGATAGAGCAGAGCACCACACCGGTGGCATCTGACAACAGCAGCCTGTGTAGCTGGGACCTCAGGAAGAGAAGTTCTGCACTGCCATTACTCAGGGAGGTGCCACAATCTAGCCCTATGTGTATTGTCTTGCATACTTTGCCAGGGTCATAGCCATGGTCCATCTAGACAAATATCTTGTCTCTGACAGTGGCCAGTACCAGATGCGACAGAGGAAAATGCAAGGAATACTGGAGCACTGGAATGACCTGCATACAGGGGCATTTTCTTCCTAACTCTAGGCAGTAAATTGTTGGCTTATGCCCTGAAAACTTTTTTTAAAAAACAGGTGTCATTCAAATGTGGATGTCATTGCTTGTAAGAATGCTCACTGATGTACAGAGGCAATGAGTTCAACTGCTTAGCAGTTAAAAAAATTCTTGACCATTTTAAATTTGTTGCTTTTCAATTTCATTGGATGTCCCTTTAGCCTTGTACAAGAATAAGTGCCAAAGCTCATGCCCTTTCTATTGGCTTCAAATGTCTGATGTAATCCCAGGTCGCCAGGTGGTATGGCCTACACTGCCTCTGCCTTCCTGGAGCCCTGACCAATCTCTCTCAGTGCATTTTCACCCCCAAATCTCCCCTTGACTACTGTTCTCTGCACATTACTTCCATCTAATCAGTTTCACCTTACATACAAATGCTTGTTTAAAAACAGCTCTTTACAGGGATGCTGTAATTTTAAATTTAGCGCCACAATTAGCATTGTAAAACATACTTTTAGAAACCTGAGACCAAAACAAATGTTAACTATTCTTTAAAAAGGTTAGCAAAACTAGTAGTTTTTAAAAATAAAATGAGTAACAGGAGCCCAGGTGAGCTCTAATTTCCATTTTGTGTATTTCTCTCCATGGGGGTTGCCTGTCTAGCACCAGTAGTATAATGGAAATACCTTGTTTCCCTGTTAATCCATTAAAATGAAGTTTTCTGTTTCTTGATTAACCAGATTAACAAAATGCTGTAGAACTGTGGTGTTAACAGTTATGACATTCTGTATAGTGGGCTTTTTATCCCAGAACAATCCTGATTAAGAGACCATTCATCTACCCAATTAATGATTGTATATGGCTTTGTTAATACAAGGTACTTTGAGCAGTGTCTTTCCCAAAGACTATGAAGGCTCACATTTGTAATGCATTCTATTTTCACTGACTCACTGAATAAAAGTGATCTCTCTCTTTTCCTCTGCCTTGCCACTTAACTCAAATTATTATCCACCTCAGATAGGTATTAGTATAACAAAATTAAGAAAACAGCAATGCAATGACTTTTCTAAAGCTAGGCTAGTATCTCCTATCTTACCCATTAACTGCAAACTACAAGCATAATGCATTATTTCAAGGTAAAATAAATGATGCTTTTCTATTTGTAACAGTGGTCAACATGATTTGTTTACATCCTTCCTGGATCAAAACAATATGCTTGTGCTAAAACAGGGATCAGCAATCTTTGGCACGCGGCCCGCCAAGGTAAGCCCCCGGCGGGCTAGTTTGTTTACCTGCCGCGTCCACAGGTTCGGCCGATTGCGGCTCCAACTGGCCGCGGTCCGCCGCTCTAGGACACTGGGGGCTGCGGGAAGTGGCAGCCAGCACATCCCTCGGCCTGCGCCGCTTCCCACAGCCCCCGTTGGCCTGGGATGGTGAACCGCGGCCAGTAGGAGCTGCGATCAGCCGAACGTGCAGACCCGGCAGGTAAACAAACCGTCCCGTCCTGCCAGTGGGCTTACCCTGGCGTGCCGTGTGCCAAAGGTTGCCGATCCCTCTGCTAAAATGTATGACATTTATTTCTATTAGAAAGAGCATAACCCATAGAACCAAGCAAAATTATATTGTCACAATAATTATTGCTCTGAGATCAAGCAGTTTATGAGCCTGCCTTAAGGATTCATTGTTTAAAGGAAGCTCCTGTCTTTGCATTTTAAGCAAATTATTAATATTTAGATTCTGAAATGAAGGTAAGTGCTGGAGATTGATCAATATTCAGTATGCATTATTTTGTTGATCAGACACTGAAAAATATTTATGTGTAGTTAATGTGTGTTTGATGTGACAACATTACTTATAGAGCCTCTCCCCCCTAGCCCCCCACTGGCTGATAATCTCAACCACAGTAATTAATGGAAACTGGATAGTCAAATAGTCTGCATGTAATTTGTGGATTAAAACCCCACAAAGCAACCGGTTTGCTAAAAATAAAGCTTCAACAAGGAAAAGTTTGCCAGTTAACAAGAGCAGCAAAGCCAGCATTAAGTCAACTATTTTTTCTTTCCATAATTAGGACATTGGTTTGGATCATCAATGCTGTCATTTTGTGGCATATTTTCCTCCCTTTTACCTTCCTTTGTAATATACATGCTACTAAAACTTTTCTGATAAGACCACCACTTTTATAAGAGATTAAAAAAGTAGGTCTTAATTTACAGCACCTTGTTTCTTGATTGAAGATGTAGTTCAAACAGTCATTAGTTGGGGAGTGGTGATGGGTGTCTCTCTTTAATGAAGTTCCTGGAACCCTTCTCTAAGTTTCATCATCAGTACAACCAACTAATGGATGCTGTTTTGTTACTGCCTGGTACCTGGAATTATACCCCAAGCCCACTGCATCACTGCTGACATTTTTGTATCAGAACTGCAATTACTTAGCCTGAGGCAGATCTTCAGCTGGTGGAGCAATGAAAATTTACACCAGCTAAGGATCTACTGCTGTATGCTTTCCTCAAAAGAGAAGGGGGGCGGGAAATCAGGAGAGCTGCATACATGATACTAATTTGCTGCAAATCTTGTCTTAGTTTTGTTTCTGATGAGTTTGATATCTGTACATGACCTTTCCTGAACAGCTTAATCTCCCTAAACATAAGCCTTTTATATTTACGTGGCAATTTATTAAATTGTGCTTAACCTGGAGTTTATTGATCTTTTACCAAGAAATTGTTCCCCAAAAGGGAAAGAAGCAGACACTTTTGTAAAGATATAGATAGAGCGATCACATTTTACTTACTACAGTACCAGATGTATCACACTTAGGAACTTTGTGAGTAACTAGAGAAGGAAAAGTTTGACCCTCCTGGATTCTATCAAATGACTCCTGCTTAATCTTCAGCATAAAGGCTGCCTTATAGGGGCCCGGGTAGTCACACTTTTCAGCCAGCACCAAGTTCTTATAATTTTTCAAAGACTGGCAGATATTGTACCTGTGACTGACAGGTTTTTGCATCGTCTGGATGATGTGGCTTAGCAGGTCGCAGTAAGAACAATAATATATGCAGTCTGATGGCCAAGGTCAAGACAGTTCATGACAATGAAGCTTCATAAATGTGTTTGAACCAAATAAGATTCAGTATCTGGGATATCTCCATGGAACTGGATTGTGTAGTCACAGGTGGAAAAGGCTCTATGAATCATCTGAGGCCCAAAAGATCCCTGCTGTTCTAAGGGCCCACGCTCACGCAACTAACTAGACAGAACGCTTTTCCCAGTTTCCCATCCATGACTGCATCTGACTTTGGCGGAACCAGGCTGTAACAGAAAGAACATTCCCTTACTGCTGTCTCCTGCTCGGAAAGTTGTGCTTTAATTCCAGCTTCTGGCTTTGCAAAACTTGTGGTAGATGGAGGGTCAAAAAGATGATAGAAGAGGCTGTTGGCAGGCAAGAAATGGGCACTAGATCAGGACAGAAGGTACGTAATTTGTATATGGAAGAAGAGGCTGGATGGAATCTTACATACTACAGTGGGCACATTTATAAAAGTTAAAATGGAGAAGATCTGTAGAACTGGAATTAAGTAGGGGATAACATTAGAACTGGTAGTCACTCTGGAACTAGAATGACCTTGTTACGTATACTTACTTCACATGCGTATGAGAGATTTCCTGAACCAAAACTAGAACCAAGAGAACTCAGCATATAGACTTCCCTGGAGTTTTTGCCTAAGGAAAAAATAAAACAGCTAGCAAGGCAATAAAGTGGCTAAAGACAACATATCTAAGGATTCTGGTATTGCTAATCAGGGACTCTCCTGTGAAGTGCTGAATGTCTTCAACTCCCTTTGACTTTAATAAAAGTTAATGAAAGTTGAGGTCATTGCTAAGTGCTTCACAGATGTAGGCCCACACAATGCTTTTACATTATTTGGCACTTTGAGCTAGGAATTACTGCAGGATATTATTGCAAGCTAGCAACTATTCTGATTAGTATAATTTAAAGTATATGACATTTAATAAAGCTACTTTTAAAAGCTCAGAACTGATCATCATCTTCTCTTAATTAGGAATCTTTTGTAGAACCGATACCATGGGCTGTTGTATTGATAAACAGGTTTACTGCAGTGTTGTTGCAGCCATGTTGGCTGCAGGAGACAAGGTAGGTGAGGCAATATGTTTTACTGGGCCAACTTCGGTTGGTGGCAGTCATAAGCTTTAAAGCTCGAGACAGAGTTTCTTCAAACCCACGGACTTTACAGGGACACAGGATTTCTGGCTCATTTCAACAGCCTGCTACCCTTAGTTGCCCAGTTCTAACCCTTTATACATAACAATCTAATCCACAATTGTCCACTTCATTTCAAGTGACCACCTCCAATATGCATTACCCCCTCTGTTTAACAATCTGTCCCAACTTATATTTAGCTCAGACATTCTGCTTCCTTCCCCAGATCCGAAGGAGAGCTCAGTGTAGCTCAAAATCTTGTTCCTTCCACAACAGAATCTGGTCCAATTAAATACATTAACTCCCTTCCCTTTGTCTCTAACAGATTTATGATCTTTTTAATTTATTTTGTTTGGCCTGCAGTATGTATTTTAATGTGCAAAACAAAGACAAGTAAACAATGTCTGTTTATGTGAAGTCTTGAGTAATGGCCAAAACCCAGCATTTTCTCATCACCAAGCATTGTTAATGGTGGAAGATGTCACTGAACCAAGCCCATTCTACATGCTGCTACCTGACTGAATATTTTAATACATCAGGATGGCTAAATACTTGTCTGAGTCCCTGCCCTTTTAATCAGAGAAGTTATATGGCATCATCCTGATGCCTAAACAGGAGAGTTAATTATCTACTAGCCTAAAGAAATGTTAAACCAGGGATATAAGTAGCAATAAAACAATTCTAGAGCTCAATAGGGACTGGAATCCTTAAGTGTGTATCTTTTCTGCAGTTACTTGAATGGGACTTGCTACTTGGAACTCATTAAAAGAAAGTAGGTCAGTTGGGCTACCTTAAATATAAAGTAAACAAGGCATTTCAAAGAGGAAAGCTTACATAGCATTTTCTAATGTGAAAGTTACTGGGCTAGATTCTGCCACTTTCAAGGAGCACCTCACTGAAGTCAGTGAGTGCATGAACAGTAAGGCAGGACTTATGGCAGAACTGGTAGAATCTGGCCTTATATGAATTAGAAGCTCAATAAAAAGATTATAAAAGTCTGTTTCTCAGACTTAATTTCTCTTTTGTGACTTTTGATCACTAACATGCTCCTAAGAGAAAATCCTGAAGGTGACTGGAGAAGGCCAAAACCAAACCAAACCAAAACCACCCCCCCTTCCACAAGAGCAGCTGAAAATGGATTTTTCTAAAGAATTTCTAAGAGCTAGCCAAAATGAATTGCATGCTGAAAATTAATGCAGTTTTTAAGCAACACTGTATTCAGAAAAATCAATAATAGAAATGCAGAGCTATTTTAAAAGTACCACCATGCTATAGTTGTAAGTCTTTTGAGATACAGAAGCAATTAGCCATAGTTGGTCTGAGGCCTAGTCTACACTAGAAAATTAGGTTGATTTAACTACATCAGTCAGGGGTGTAAAAAATTCACATCTCTGAGCAGTGCAGTTAAGCAGACCTAAGTCCCCATGTAGACCATGCTAGGTTGATGGAAGAATTCTTTGGTCAACCTAGCTACTGCCTTTTGGAGGCGGATAACCTACACTGATGGAAGAATCCCTCCTGTCAGTGTAGGTAATGTCTATACTGAAGTACTACAACAGCACAGCTGCAGCTCTAGCCTTTTAAGTGTAGGCAAGCCCTGAGTAATCACTGCATTACTCCAGTTTTATGCCACTGTAAATGCAGTGAAACTGTAAGAGCTCAGTGCAGTTTTATGTTGGTATCACTCAAGTGGAGTTTCATCTATGTAAAACTTGAGTAATGCAGTGTTGATTAAGGGCCAATGAACCCAATACAGGTTATTGTGAAAAAGTAGGTCACATCTTTATTAAAAAGAAAACATTCAGCAGAATACTTTCACAGTGTTTTCCCAGATTGAACTAACTATGCATGTGTCTCTGAAGGTCTTCATGGATGAGAAGCTGAAAAGACAGTAGTTGAAAAAGCAAGCCTTTTTCCACCTCCATCATACTTATGCCTCCTAGTGTCCAATTGGGTTAACATCATCAGGACTGGCTCCAGGGTTTTTGCTGCCCCAAGTGGCGGGGAAAAAAAAATAAAAAGCCGCGATCGCAATTACGATCGGCAGCACTCCGGCGGCAGCTCCACTGCGCCGCTTTCTTCTTCGGCAGGAATTTGGCGGCAGGTGCTTCCCTCCCAGAGGGACCCACCGCCGAATTGCCACCGAACAGCCCGACGTGCCGCCCCTTGGCCACCCCAAGCACCTGCTTGCTGGGCTGGTGCCTGGAGCCGGCCCTGAATATCGTATCTAAGATGGGGTTAAAAACCTTGCATTCAAACACTTTCAGGATCTGGTAACATTTTGTTCTTTTCAAGTTCATCTGTCATTATATTAAGATGGTTTCTTTTTTGAACTGCATGGATATTCCTAATGTTTCAGTGTGTGAAGCACCAGCTTCTTTACATGTAATGAATCCAGAACACCATAATTCCAATAAGCATCCTGAAGGCCTCTAAGTAAACCATGAGACATTTGAATGTCAAGATCTAGACAAAATATTTTTACTCACACCATTAATTTTTGATAAGACATTTTATCCAAGATGTTACACTAAGAAACAAAAACTCTGAAATGCCTTTTTTTTTTTTTGGAAGCTATCAGCTTCCGATTTAAGTTCTGGTGTAAGATTGTGTAAAGCCTTGATCTCATATAAAGTGCAAAGAATACCCTCAACCTGATTTAGTGGTAGATAGATTGCCTGTCTGATCATCTTGTCATGCTTTGGTATTTTAATGTAATGCTAATGAACTTTTTCAAAACCCCACCAGTAGAAGCGGAAAACAGGATATAGAGTCTTTGAACAATTCCAAAAGTTAGAACAACTTGGGGAAACCACCATTACCGTAGCTTCTCCACCAAGATTCAGTGAGCGGGCAGCACATGGGATGAAAGACATGTATTGATTTACCTGCTGAATTTGATTTTAAACACCTTTGTATGTGGCAGCTATGATAGCTCCATTGTTATAGCTTTGTCCCCTGCAACTGTCTTTTTCAGATTCTCTAAAAATAGCCTCTGTAATACCTTCCCCTGTTTTGGTGCTGATATCAATGAAATCTACAAGGCTCCAAATGGGGCCCGAACACCACCCTTTGGTGCACCAGACAGGGAAGGCTAGGGCATTTTTGCCAAGTTAGCAATTTTGTCACTAGATTTAACGACTTGTTGGTTTCCCTAATGAGGAAACAAGTGTCAAATCTAGTGACTGTCACTGCCAATTACAGTGATGTTCAGAGAAAGACGTCACCTATTTGTATAGTCACAAAATCATTCACAAAGCAACTCAATAGTGTTAATAAAACCCATTCCATGCTTGTACTGCATTCTGTTGCACACCAAATCAATATCATTACTTCTGACTTGGACATGTCCTTGGAAGGAAGCTCAGTCTAGGGCTTTTGGGGCTGAGAGGCTGTGAATGAGAGGAAGGGTTGGACTAGAGCTCATGGTGGCAGAACAAATGCTTAGCACATAACAGGGGCTCAGCGGGAAAAACCATTTGTTAACAGAACTTTGAGCTTTTGGCCACTGAAACGTTAACTGATGAAAATCCCCCTCCAAGCAGTGGAAGCCGGCTTGTTCAGCTGGGTGATTCCTTGGGGCTCTGCTGAACCTGCCTGTTACTAGCTTCTGCGCTCACCCTGCCTGGGCAAGAGAACGCTCCCAGCTGCTGAACAAAAAGCAGCAGCAATGCTGGACGCTCCCTCTCTGGCTGGATAGTCTTGGCAGTTGAGTTTATTTTGTTATCACTGACCAGCTTTATTGGTGTCTAGCTGGTAGGGGGCTGGCAAGGGGTTTCTTGGCTATCCTGGTTACATGGGGCAGAGCAGGGATCCCCCCTACTTCTTAACCTGGCATTTGGCTGCCCATCCAGCCCTCCCTTCAGAGCTCTGCTTCTCTGGGGGTACAACCCAGATTCCCTTAGCCCCTGTAGAGGTGAGTTGTCCTGGGCAGAGTGAACCTGCCTCCCCCAGAGCAGACGTAGTCTTGAGAAAAGCCTTATGGAACTCATTCTATGGTGCCCAGAGGGGCAGTTTGGTCTCTCCAGCCACAGATAAGGTTATTCTTTGTACTGATCAAATCCCACCAAAGGATCACCCCTCCCCTAAATCCTTGGGCTCAGCTCTCAGCAAGCAAAACACCCAAACTGCTCCTGGGATCACTAGGGGCTCTGCTGCAATCGCGGGCTCGGAATTCTCTGAACTTCACTTCAATTCTCTCCATTGGCCTGTGCATGCATTTTGTGTTTCTGGGGTTCAGGTGGTTGGGGAGGAAGGCGGTTGGGGGGAGGGGAGAAATGGAACAGGTGGAATCTGTGAATTTCTAGTAAACTCCAATGACAGCCCTGTCCCGTGTAACCAGGACAGCCAGAATAAACTCAGCTGCTAAGGCTCCAGCTGGAGAGGGTGCACTCAGGCATCCTTGTTCAGCAGCTGGGAGTGTCCTCCCACCCAAGCATGCATTATATATGTGCATTATATACACATACACACACTGTTGAATTCTGTGGAAATTTAGTTT